AAATGTTCGAACCGTTTTAAATTCGAATTTGTTATTGCATATTGGTTCGATTATAGAACGATTGTAAACGTTCCAGAAAATTGATCAAATTGAAAATAGTTCGTTTGATTCTCGGCAATTCTCTTCAGCGGTAGGTGTTATATAACAATTACTGTATTGTGGTTATTGAAATATTGAATGTAAATGGGGTTTGCTTGCAAAACCTCCGCGGACGAAGTCGCAGGTAACAGCTAGTTATTATATAGATGTAAACGATGGAAAACGCGAATAAAATAATAAAACTATAGGGATAATCAAAACATATTTCACCATCAAAACACCTTACGTAATGCCGAAATCTGATACTAGGATGACCGGAAAAACGGACATTACAAATTTTACTCCCAACAGACCACATTAGCCTTTTTCATAATACTGATAATATCTTAACACACGATGCCAAACACATATATAGGCCGTAGTGTTGCTGGTAATCGACATTTGAAGACTCTCGGTTTCCTAACTTGACCCAGTATGACTCTCTTTTTCTTGTATTGTGAATGCCCTCGTAAAGTCTAAATAAAGGAAAATGTGTTAAAATTTCCCTTCATCCAGACTTGCACAACATGAAGAAATGCATCGTTACAGTAATAGAAACTTTTGATGTCGATATGCTTTCAATACTCAAGTGGCAAGGAAATGTAAAATGCATAGAAATTGGCACAGGAGAACATATTGTCCGGTTATATGAGTACTAAGACGGATTTGTTGGGACTGTCTCGTCTCACGAAATCGCTTAGTGAACAGTATCACTGAAAGACTACCACGTGAAATATTTTGTCGTCACGAATCTAAACATTCTCTTAAGCCCCAAGTCACAGTCATTAATACAAAGTTTTGTTAATTTATTAGATTGAAGTCAAGTATAATTTCCCGTAGTTTAAGTGTACATTCTTATTAATTTTTGTTAATTGAAATCTATTAGAATTACTTCATACTTAATTATGAATTAAAATCTGTCCTTTAAAAGTATACAATCAAAATAGATTTTATAATTATCAGAAATTATTGTCTTGATTACAGAAAAGAGAAAAAAATTCGTCATTCTTTAGTTAACTCTCAAATACGATTCATTTGGCGTTTAGTACACGAATCCTTCATTATTTAAATAGTTTATATTTGTTTTAATTATTCTTATTTAATTAAACAGGAAATTCCAGTTAAAAATGCTAAAGGTCAAACTATATGTAATAAAAGGTGCTTGATGTACTCTACACGATGACAAAAATCTGCTACTAAAGTTAAAAACCACTGTGCAACGGATGTATTATGGTTAAAAGCCACCACAAGTGCTGGATGTTGATAGATCAGTAAGTACTCGTAAGAGAAGAAGTATCATATATGTGAGATCCGGAATTTTATGAACGAAACCTTCGCTCTTTT